TATTATTATTTAATTCTATTTAGGCTTTAAAGTTAAAAGAAAACTTACATCAAAATATTTTTCTTTTTTTTACATCATTTTCAGGATTACATACTTCAAAAAAAATGGAAAAAAAGATATAAAGGAAAGGTAATAAAAATATTTTTCGATGAAATTTCGGGGGGGGGGATTTGAGCCTGGACCCCCCCCCCTCCTGAATACGGCCATGCTTAGAACCTTTTTCTCTCAATTCACAAACTATTCAGGTGTAGCTAATTCTCACCTATTCATCAAATCCTTGCAGTCTTCTTTGTGGTCCTTCCGGCTTCCGGTAGATTACCAGACGAATACTCGTAACGTCCTGTTGTCATACGTGATTTACAACACCTATAATAGACTTGAGTATTTACAATTTTTTTTCTTGCTGTATCATAATATAAATTCCTATAATCGCTACGACTCAATAGTTTTGCCTTTTTTTTTGGCACCGCATAATTTAAGTGTTTACGCTCTGGAACTTTTTAACACGGTACTGATTTTTTTACACATATTATTATTTATACGGATAATATAATATTATAATACCACTTAGCATTTTGGTTCGGGTGCGAAAACGAGCAGTTGCTATTTGCAAATCGTTCAAACGTACTTCCACGCTCAATGATTTTGTATTCTACATAATAGTAATACATTAATGTTAATATTATTACAGTATACAGTTATATCTATAAGTGGTCTTCTCTAATTCGATGCGTATCATGGCCAAACCGCGGCCGAATACACCTTTTCATGACTTTTATGAAGCTTTGGTTTAAATTTAAATAACACGTCGATCGGTTTAATTTTCTAAACTAACTTAACGTTTTTCATTTTTCTTATCGACAATCAATAATAGACTTCGTGTGCGTTTGTACATATTATGTGTGTAATATATTAAATATTATTTGCAAACGGAAACCGTCGGGTCAGACCGTTATGCAGGCGAATATCTAAACAGAACTGCTGTAATGAATCGTCCGGTCCGTTAATCGCACACTTCCAACGGGATACTATAATGTGTACAATATATTATATCCACTCTGTGTAGTGTGTACCTATAAACTTGGCAGGCCCACCTTTTGAAATGAAAACCTGCATTTGCATATCAAGTGCAATTTGATTAATTTTATTCTCCAAGAACTTTACATTATCGGGTCGATTACACGGAATCCGATGAATACCTAAACCATATATTTACTTACCTTACCTAACCATATTTAATCTACCCGTAAGCTCTTGTTGCGTTTTGCGCAACGCTATATTCAATAGTTATTGACAGTCGAAATACAAAATTAATCAATTCAGCGCAACATTCCCACGATAGGTACGAGTATTTGTATGTTATTTTAATTGTATAGTTCGCTGCCTGGGTTTATTTCAAATATATCTTCGAAATATTGTTAAAATAATATAGTCTTTATATATTATAAATTTCTTCTGTTCGCGTGTAAGTATGCAAACTCCTCCTAAACGGCTGGACAGATATTTATGAAATTTTGTGTGCGCGATTAAATTGATTCGAAAAAGGTTTAGATTCAGAATTTGATCAGATAGAACATGCTTTTAATGTTCAATTAATTAAAATGATTAATTATGATTATCAATAGTATCAATAGTTATCAATACATCTCTATGGTTTTTCATACCACAGGGATACACTGATCCGATCAGCTGATTGTGTGTCTATTCTAATACACGGGCAACGGCGGGTCAGGACAGCTTGTGATATAATATATGTTTGTTCTATTTGTAAGCAAATTAAACTATTAAACATTAATACGATTTCTATATGTTTATATAATAAACAATAGATTAATTTTGGAGCTGAGATGGTATTTTTTCGTAATGTTATTGTGAATGACACAATTAAATAGTAGGTAATATCAAAATCACAACGACTCCCACATTTAACTGATATCTTAGAATTAAATAAGGATACGCCAGTACAATGATACAAACTATTAACCTAACTTAAATGAACCTGAAAATAAATTATAAAAAAGCTCATGCCATTGTGTAATCAGTTATGTTGGTTAAACGGTTTTGTAACAAACAGAGATGGGCATTGCCTATGAATTACAATAAATTACATTTACAATGACAATTAGTTATTTCTTATTATTATTTGGATAAACCTAAATGATTGAAACTTATTGGTAACTTTTTTTATCTCTAATAAAAAAGTTGATTATTTTAAATTATTTTTTATGCAACATCTCGACCGCGTAGTATCAACAGGTTGCTTTCGCAGTGGAATTATTTTACTCATGCGCTTGCTATGTGTGTCCAAGGTTAATACAAAAAATAAATAATTCGTGGGAAAACGGTAGAAACGGCCGTTTGTGCGAGCATGCCTAAGTCATTGGTCAAACAAAAATAGTGGTCGGTGGGCAACATATTACTTAATTTATTTTTGAGTTTCCGAGAGTTCAAGAACAAAAAGACAATGGACAGCAATAACCGCTATTATTTTCCACCCGTGTGAGCATATTACACATGTGTGTTGTCCGTTAATCTTAACAGCCTTGAAGAATCCATTTTCGGTGAGAAAAATCACTATAATTCCGTCCGTTTGCTATAATTCTATGGCGATTTTTTTTTATATATTACTGGTCTTTATTCGTTTTGGGTCAATTATTTGAGTCAGTTTAACTCGCTTCTGCTGTTTCCATTCCCAACCCTAGGCCAAACTTGTTGATCTCTAACTAATAGACAGAACAAACCGTATATTATGCAACAAAACGTCTTATTTTATTCCGGCACAAATTATAATAGTTTTTGTAGACACCTTACTATAACTTTTATCAAATAATACTCTATCATCTGTATCAACACCTCTACTTGATTTTTAAGTGACCCAAAGTTTGAACCAAATAATATATTAACTGAAAATCTGACGATGTGAATGATTAATTTTTTTAAAACCAGTAGTATCCGAGTTCAAGTTCATACAATGTTATATTTATTTCATATACAAATACAACATTTATTGATTGATGAAATTCCTTTAAGTGTAGGCGGTTATCATTGTCCAATGGTTATAATTAGATATCTCTTAATCACACCGTCAGCAGCTATAACAATAGATTAGTTATATCCGAAACGTCTTCCTCGATAGTACTATTCTACTACGCATTGCCTACGTTTTACTCCTTAACATAACCGTACTCGTGCGAATCGTGCGCGCTTTAAGTGTGCTAACCTGTTATGGGCGTGGCCGGTGAAAATTGGACCGGAAAGTCCCGATGTGGTATCTTTTCAAGATACAAAAAAATGTGTATGCACATAAAAATAATAACAACAATAAACAACGATGTACTCGTGAGATGCGTTTCTGCGGTTTACTATTGGCTGATGACTGGACATATTATTCAAATTATTATTCACGAATGATAAACCAAACTGTTGTACAGGGTGATTCAATTTGACTCGACTAGTGTTATTCTTTTGTGTTTTGAGGTACGATGAGATATGTGCAGATAGGTCCACCGGGATGCCGAGAAAATCCCGGTTAGGGCATTTTTATTTAAATTATCTTTATATACCTATATTTTTATATCTTTTATCTTAAAATATTTTATAATTACTAAATATTTACCTTTTTTGGTATTTTCCAGAGCTCTATAAACTTTAACGGTAACATATACATTTAATTAAAACTTTTTAAGTTAAGAATAATTTGCTGAATATTTTGAACTGTCGATGACCAATTAGTTTTGGATAATTACTTTTTAAGTTGTTAAAGCTTAAAACTTAGGATGGCAAGAAGAGTGGAGTGTATTATTATTTTTATCATCGCGCGTTACTCAACTGCACTCTACTACCCGTCCAAAATTTTAAACTCTTATAACTTTGAAAGTAACAACCCATAACTGGTTATCGACCAGTCAACATTTTCAGCAAATTATTTTAAATTTGAATAGTTTTGTGTACAAGTAACAATTTAAATTTTAAAACTTAATAGAGGTCTCGAAAAAATAAAAGTTTGATTATCGAGTTAAAATAAAGTGTCCCAAAAAGAAATACTACAAAATTACAATTGTTTTAAGAGAGAAAAAATATTATCCTATATATTGTCCTGCGTTTAATTGATCACACTGTACATGATTTATGTAGCTTTGGGAATTATTTTCTCGATAACACAAATTTAGCCCAATTCTCCTGTGGTTTCAGGTGTTGAGCAGGTATTAATTTTGCTTTATAGCTACCGAGTTGAATCCTCCATGTCCTCACTGTCGATCAACAATTAAACATTATAAAAGTATGCAAGTTTTTTCTACTTAATAACAAATATTGTTGGGGGAGGGGATGGTATGGTATTAGCTATTGCGAAAGAAAACCCTTAAGTATTAGACGATTGGGAAATTCTGGGTCATGTTGTTACACGTCTTTTAAGAGAGGATAACTATAAAATTATGGCTAAAAACACTAAAAATATACCAACAATTGACGGACTGGTTGCAGTGCTCGTTGAAACTCGAACACAAGTCAATTCCAGCTACCGCGGTCCGCGGTACATTTTTGTCTATGTATTGTGACACAACGGACAACCAATACATAATAAAATATCTAATAGTTTGAGCGTGTACGTTTTGCAATTTCTGTGTTATTATTGTTGTTTGTCTTCCTGGAGGTCCATGAGTACAAATATAAGTCGCTTTTGCTTTCTATCCATGGAAAACGTTTCCCATTGACGTCCGTACCTGTCGCACGACGAGTGTTTGGACAACGACCGTGTAACGACGATAATATGATGTTTATTGTATTCGAATAATAGTAAATAAAATTATTAACGTGTCGACAAACGAGTGTCGTTTATGATACGTTATTATTCGCCGACAGCGCAAAATACCCAAAAGCGGTTCCGCATGTAATATGGCGTGTGTATGTGTGGAATATATGCAAAACCGGGTAGAATTTATTTTAAAAAAAAAAACTATTTTTACGTTGTGTAATAATTATTTGAATGTATTTTTTTCCAGGCGTTTATATTATTGTCAACCCATGAATGCTAAGAGTTCAAAATGTACATCGAAAAGTTGATCAAACCACAGTGAGTACAAACTAACAAGTTATTATTACTTATTATTGGACTAACACACGAGGAAGTAACTATACCCAGAAACTATTCTAATGAAGACTTTTTCAATAACTACTATCTCTTTACAATACAAATACCTTCTTCTTCTTCTTACCTATATCTCTTTATCCCATGTAAATGGGGTGTCGGCCAGCCAAAAATTGCAAAAGGACGGACGATATAGATGTGTTGTGTTTATTGGGTCGGTCCTTATAAACCATTGATATTATATTATGTGCTATTTAAATAGTATTTGGTGTATGTGTCGAGCGCGGTATGTGTATATACAAACGAGTCGGGCAAACCACGACTAATCGTGCTATTAGGCGGCGCTACGGTTATAATAGTTATTTGGAAAAAATCAAATCAAGCCGAAATTCGAACAAATAAATAATTGACCTATAATGACGGCATAACTAACTTCATTGTTGACACGGATGACCTCGCCCTACATGATTTAAACACCGGTATACAATATCAATCCGTGGTGTTATCGGTTGGGGTGGAGTTGTCTGGTCTTATTGTCTTACAGCAAAATCGTGCAAACACTTTAAGAGTAATACCGAGTTATGGCATACTATGTGTTTGGTCGTCTCAGCTTGTTGATCAAAACTTTTGGTCTTACATCAGACCCTTGACCAAATGGTTTGGCTAAGAAATTTATAAATTATTTGTGCGTGTTCGCCTATTATAGCTGTTGTCTCCCAAATACAATTTCCGGCACAATGAAGATTATATAGAATGGACGGAATGTCCGGATTAATTTCAAAAAGTGGCAGATTTGTCACCGTGCGCTTCTGTATAGCTATACCTAAGCCTATAGAATAAATAATATACCGTTCAACTGTACAGTGAAATTCGATGTTTACGTTTGTCATCATGGTCGGTCTGTCTGTCGATCGAGTCGTCCGGGTGAAACCGGATTCCTCAATTAAGGTTCTCGATTTCGGTTGTTTAGTACGATGTGACCGTAAACGTTCCTAAAACTAATAAACAATAATAAGGATACTTCTACAGACTGTGAGTATTAATTATAAATTGCGTTCTACTGAAGAAACGGCTGTTCGTGAGTCTTGGGCTCTAGAAACTGTAACGCCGCTGTGGTGCATTTATGGGTGAAACGCGTGCAGTAGGCCCAGTACTATTGTGCTGTCCTCGTGGTCGAGTCTGATAATTCAATTTGCTTTTGGCCAATCAAAACTTAAGCAACGCGTCCACGACCTGGATCGTTTTGTTAGTAGACACTTCGTGAATAACATAATGATTATATCTAAGTAGGTATATATTATTTTGTATGACACGACTTGGACTCTATTAAGCTCTAGGGCTGATTATTGAAGCACAAACGTTTCCAGAAACGTGGAAAAAATGTGTATATTTTTATTTTGTACATTCCATAAATGTATCATAAAAACAAAACAATTAATACAAAATAAACAAAATTTTTTGTATAAACAAAATTTGGGTTAAAAAGTATGTAACGGTAATCGAGATTTTTAAAAAACATCATCGATCGGTCAAAAATCTAATCCATATTTGACTAATAATAATTGTGATCGTTTTTCGCGGTCTTATTTGATTGTCTGTATGTTCTTCTTTTTGAGTACCCGGGTTGTGTATAATAAATATAATAGTTAAGCGCCACCGGATTGGTTTCATATTTCATTATTTATAGAATAAAGGTGGAACCGAAAATCTTATGAATAGATTATCCAGCAGAGACAGATGTCGACTTCTAATAAAATATCATATTATTATGTGCATACCGTATTATCCGTTTTCAATTTCGGCGTTCCAAAACAAATTCGACACAGACCGGGTATTTGATCAGCGAGTTTTGAATAAACAACTACAATAGCCGCGTACACCGCATAAATGACATAAAAATAATATAGATCCTTACTTTCGTTTTTTTTTTCGCGCTTTTCGATCCGTCCACGAGATGATCACCATAATATCTAAATCTCAATTACAACGTTTCTGGTTGACACGGTGCTCGAACATAAGCAATCATCGTGGATCGGTTATTTTTCGGTGAAAATGCTGTCGCCGTCGGACGAGACAAATAGTGCCCCGTGAGATGTTAGAAATTTCAGAAACGCTCCACGCTACTTACCCGAGCATTTATTATAGTCCTGTAAAATATATTCACTAGCTCTCGTTTAAAAAAAAAATAATAATAATAAAAAAACCACAACACGATACATTTGTTTTCTTAAAGCCCTAAAGAAAACATCTGACTACTAGGGCGTTTGTGTAGGCACAACCCGTCAACAATCAACCACATCACACGTGTAAACGTTTGATGTCAATTTCTGTTCACGGTTGTACACTGTAGGCTTAGTCTATAAACTGTTATGCAACATGTAAAAATCCATTTGATTTTGTTGCTGTCGAGAAAGTCAGTGCGTAATCCTTTTTGGCGGTGCGACTTTTCATTTTTCCCAAAAATTTGCACTAGTTTACGGATTTAACATTGTGTATTTATGGGTTATTTCAGTATATTTTTTGTGTGCGATGAAATCATACAATATAATAATCGAAAATGTGCCTAGAATTTCTAGAGAAAAAAATGAGAAAACATTAAGTACACAAACCGCGTGAGAAACTATACGTGAAGTAATGTAAGTATAAGTATGTGCGTTGTACGGAAACCATCGCTGTGATTTTAATTGAAAAAATGTATTTTATGGGAAAAAAACATATTTTAGCAAGTAAGTAGGCTTCATCGAATTATTCCTGCTTTGCAATGATAATAATAATAATTATTGGCAAACTTCTGCCATTGACAATACATAATTATTATCGTTGCTCATTGTGTCGTTCATACACCTTATCCGCTAATTTCTTTATGCGGATGTGCGGATGTATCCAACCAACGACGATCTTGTACCTAAGCAGTTGGCGGAGATGATTTTTATTTTCCACAACGAAATCTTACACAAATCTCTTGGACTGATCTGATTTCGATTTCGCTTTGCCGACAATAATATAATAAAATATACACGTCCACCCGGCCAAGTACTTTCTCATCGTTTTTCTTTGCCCACGTCCGCGGGATACTTTTGAGTGTGTTTTTTACCACTAATTCGTGTTTTCTGTGACGACACGTTTTTTGCTGCTCTTGATATATTATTGTTTGCGTTAAAAAAAAAAAAAACTATATTCAACTCACGCGGTGATGGTGCTCAAATGAAAAGTTATTCTCATTCGAGCCTATTTCAGTGTTAAATCAGTGACGAGATAGAGTTTCAGCTCCCTGAAGGTAAACGGAAAGACAAAGGAATGGTGCACGCTAAACGACAGTATAAGTGTACACGAAAGTGACCAAATCTAAGATCCTAAGCCCTATTCAACATAAGTTAGGTAACATTAAAATTGTATAACATATTAATACAACAGATTAATGGTTAGTCAACCATACGTTTTTTTTTAGTGTGGAATTTTGTACGTGATAATTGATATAGTGCTAAGCACTTGGTCACAAGTATTTATGAGTAAACGATCCTGCATTTTTTGTCAAATCACGTTGTTTATAGAAATTGTATATAGTATAACACTAGTATGTATGTCCAGGGATTTGGGGAACAAAATCAATTTTGGTTTGCTAATGTATTTTCGGTACTTAAATAATCTCTGAGAATACATTTTATGCTTTCGCATTAGCTAATGTCATATTACAAGAATTGAAATCTCAATGGTTCAATCGATTCTAGCTCCGGTTAGATTATAAAATCATTTAAATAAATACTTAAGCTAGGTTTTGTAGTCAAAGTTAGAATTTTTATAAATTGACTTTTAAACAGACCAAAGGTTTGACTAAGTAACATTAATCATGTGTAAAATAAACATTGGTAATATTATGAAGTTTTACTGATAGCTCTAAAGTAACTACATCACATACAGGTCTGTAAAGTAGTTATAAAGGCAACTCTGAGTGTGACCAGTATCGCGAATATTTCTCATTCAGCAGTCAATGATGATTTTTAAAAATGTGTTATCCTTACTATTTCTTATCTGTAGTGATTAGCTTGAATGGAAATTATTTTCAAATGACTGATAGTTTATTATCTATGATCACTCTTAGGGTTTCCTTAAAATTGCTTCACTACTGTCCACGTGTCCGCTGTATAGCCATTCCTATAGCCTATGGCTGCATCCTGTAGTCAGCCAGTCCCACATCTTATTCCTAGACTTCCATCACGATCTAAGCTCTATGTAATATAACATAGTTGTGTCAAAAAGATATGCTCTCAAACGTCGCCTCCCAGTGACTTTCACCCGTCGGTCGCCTTCGATTGCCTGCTCCGGAAGACCACCAATCTAACCGGTTGCATGTCGCAAATACATAATATAATAACTATGAATTAAGTTGTGTTTTGTGCGGTTATCGAATAGTTCCCATACAGTAGACGACGCCTACGCAAGACCAGAAATTCCTGTGCACGTCACTGTATTTAAGTGCATTTAAAAAAATGAAAAATAAAACTCTAACCCCAATGGGTGTTACTGCAACCGGACTGTGCGTTTACGATTTGACGATAGAAAATCCAAGCCGGTTTCTAAGCGAGAAACATACACACAAAAGGCTTGTATTGTATAAATACAGGAGGACTTTAACGAGCTTGGTCAAATACTAAAAAAAAAAATATCCGACGGTAACAAATAACAATAATAGTATGTTTTATCACTATACACATAGGTATACTAGTGTTTGATATATACGTGTGTGTGTATGCATTGTTGTGTGTACCAAACAAAAGTCGGATTCCAATAATTATTACTACTATTCCGTCGGCAAGACTCGGGGTTATTAAACTGCATATATGTAAGTATGTATTCGATCGTGTGCGTTCATAATCAGTTGTCGTTATCCACCGATTGTATGCACCCATGTTATCTCCTGCACTCTAACGTGCACTATTCGGCAGATGAAAATGTACAAAAAGACTTTGTTTGTAAAAAAGTTCACT